TGGGTAAACTTCCTGGCAGCAAAGTCAAAATTTCTCCTGTTCTACATAACATGTCTCAGAGAGTTTTTGAGTTGTGATGGTTGATTTCTTAAAAACTTTTGTACATATCATTGCTAACATATGTAAATATTCATGCCGAACTTATACCTAGGCCATTCCAATTAAATGTCGTGGAATTGGGATTATTTTCAGAAAATGATTGGAGTGACTGGATCATATAACGTTCACGGGAGGGGTCCTAATTCCGACCCATGTTCCATGCAATCGCACTTATACCTTTGGTAATAAGCCTATTCGCCATTACTAGTGCGCCTGCGCGGAGTTTACTTGGTTACGCAGAATTGGAGATAAACAAACCCGCGGCCGCCATCGTCCCCAGCGCCAGCGTATGTCTCGATTTCCAGCTTACACACGGCGTTACCGGTGGTGACCCGCCTTGGGCTGAGTTCCAACGATGTTCTGGACCTATCTTGCCTAAAATATCGCGATATCTTTATCTTCAAGTGGATTTACGGTACGTTTTTTGACGGTATCCAAGCTAGCGCTAGCGCCTAATTACTATGCTTGCCCCCCTCCCCCATCCTGCATGCCTTCCGTCTTCACGTTTTCCGCTCAATTTTCCGGTCCAATCTCGATAAAACGAGTTTTGGAATACCTTTTTTCGTGTAAGAGTGGTTATTTGTGTACGGTAATGGTGGAATTTTTCAGTTTTAGTCGGTAAAAATTGTAAATAAACTGCATGAGCTTTGTCTTCAGAAGACCGATACACTACGTGTTCTTGTGTCACCCCAAGCACATAGAGCTCTCTAACCACAATCCTCACCGTTTCACCACGACATTATTACCGATTAAAATAATGATTTAGGTAATAGTACAAGCAGTGATGACATCTATATGTTTATAAATATTAAGTGTGGTTTTCGTAGCGGGATACATAGGGTCATGGGGGTTTTGTGCATGCAAATGCCATTGCATTAGTGCATTCAAGACTTGATGTTTTGAACGTAAATCCATCAACTTTTGGTTCAATTTTTCTCTCTTCTTCTTTTTACAGTGTTACTTTCCCGACCTCAACATGAAGCTGTGTGCAGTAGTGAATTGCAGCAATTCAACTTACCATCTAGAAAAATGGAAGAGACATGCCAAATACATGGTACAAAAAGTGGACCATTTTCCTATGAGAAGAAAAAAACCTCATGCTAGGAGAAGAGGGAATAAACTTATGAACAAGCTTGAAGCCAAACCCAGATGGAATATACTAAAAATACAAGTACACTTAGGTTCTGAAATGGTTTCATGAAAGTATATTGTAACCCGCACATAAACAGTGCTGCAAATTGTAATCATGACAGATATTTTATGTACTGAATTTTGATAGTTCTGTGCAGTAATACTGCTAAACTGGTACAGACTTTTAGTCTAACAAGGGTCTGCTGTAAATAGATTCAATATGATTATCTTTTCACTTATTAACTTGAATTAGTGGAAAATAATATATTTGAACATGATGTCAAGTCATTAACACTATATTTACCACTTAAGATACCTTTTTCCGCATGCAGTTGAGAAAGCTGTGGTGAACTGGTGTAGTTGACTCCTTCGTGCCTGCACCACAGGTGCTCCCAGTGATGGTCTAAGTACTAGTACTTAAGTTTAGATCTTTTCCACTGACTGTTGACCATAAGATCAGGTGTATGTAGAGAACTCCAGTCATTTACACTACTTACATCAAACACCTGACCCCTGCGTTTGGATCTTGAAAGTGGAATATTTAATTTGTAACTACTCTCTTGTTGTTTTTCTGACCAAACACAAGAAAAACAAGTCAGTTAACTGCATCGACAGTACTACATACTCACTCACATTCACTATCCGGTTTATTGTCTAAATACTAAATAATATGTGCTAGACAGCATAGGTTGTACGATGGCGATTACTAGATTACTGTAAACATTCACACTGTGATAGAAAACATACAAGCACCGTTAAACATAAACTTACTGTGTTAACACACAAACAGCTCTGCAATCAAAGTGATGTAGAAAATATAATGCCACAGCACTTGGCTCAGATAGTTGATGAAGACAGATATAGTTGAAAACTCAAATTTCTTGAGTTGGAGAACAGTTTTTTTTAAATAAAATATGTAACTTACCAACTCAGATAACCTTTCAATTACTATTTCCCTGGACACTGATTGTACTGTTACATACATGTATATACTATAAAGAAAACAAAACAAGCACCATTTTGATATTTTTCTTATTCCCATATCTCTCTATATGTGGACAGCACTTAATGAATGGTGCATAGGAAATATAATATTAAATATACAATGCCATATATGTTGAGAAAGACCTGTACACTAACACAAGTATTACTGGCAACATGCAACAATCCTTTACTAAACACAAGGTTCTTCAAAGAAAATTAATGCCATGGTTGCTTGAATACTACTGTTATGTCTTGGGTTCTGTATCCTGGGTCTGTGGACAAGTTCGTCTCCGCGGCCAAGACAGTGTGGACTAAGGAGGTAAGATGTGCCTAGTCGTTTGAGGAAGCAATTTCTGTCTGCAGTTGGGGTAATATGGTGGTAAGGGACTTCGCTTACCCATTCAAAGTCGAAGTAGGAGTATGTTTTCTCCTCACCATAGTCGCCCGACAGCCGTTTACGTAGTATGGGAGGCACAGGGCCGGCTCGCTAAACTCATGATCAGTGCTGGGCCGATTTTTAAGTGCGGGGGGAGGGGCATCCTTTGACGTCGTCCTTCGCTTCGACGAACTACCCTTCCGTGAAGCCCACCGGGCCGAGAATAGGTGAGTTTTTTTATTCTTGACTATAATTCTTGACATTCACAACTGAACCTGCTGCTGTCTTCGGCGAATTCGGCAACCGCGTCGTGATTCTTTTAAGCATACGAAGTTGTATGCGCCTTGAAGTTGTAGGCTTTTCCCCCTGGACGTGACTCGCGGAAACGCCTTGAAAACCGGCAGTTACCGGCAGTCTAACCTCAACCAAGAAACGTCTGTCATCTTTGCCGTCCAATAAGATATAAAATCTCCACTTACGGCCCGGGTAAACTCATTTTTTTTAGCTACGTAGCGGGATTCGACACCCGCGCTCGCTGTGTCGCGGGGCGACACGGTTTTGTTTATCTCTCAAAATGGCGGATATTACCCATCATGCATTTCGCGCCGGTAATGGCGAATAGGCTTATAGTTTATCTGACCAAAAACTCGTACAACATGAGGTATAATCTTGACAGATAATGATCACAACGATTAAAGCTGAATAGCTGTGTATTTTACTTCAGTGTAGCGCCTTGCACCCAAGCGTAATGGTTGACGAAACGTACGGCAGGTTTTTGGTCATTTTGCCGGTGGAACGTTCTATCGCAACAGGGGTGCCCTAATTCTGACCTAGTATCAAACACAGTTCGATCTGAGAAGAGAGTTTATACACAAATTATGACTAAAACAATATACAACTGTTTTTCTGCCCCACACAATTCTTTTTACGATTACGCGACTCGCTCCAAAGCGGCTGTTTGAAAAGCAAAACCTGCATTTTTGACACGCTCGTCAACCCCCGAACAAGCGTCGAATTCAAACAGATTTTTCACTCGTCTGTTGTCGGAGTGTACGAACTAAAACAAACTTAGTGAGATTACCGATATCAACACAAAAACTTTATCCATTCTTGCGGTTATTTTAAGGTGCGTGCTCCCATGCATAACGCCGCAACAAGGATTTTTCAAACTAGTACGGAATTAGGGGTAGGTCGGGATTAGGGCACCCCCCGTTATGCGTTTTCCGAAGGTTTGGACTCTCATATTTCTTGCTCATTTTATTGGAATTGTAACTCCTCAATAAAGCGGGTTACCCGGCTGATATCGCCTGACATGAGTTAAAAAATACAAATTTAACCCATGATCATGCAGTGTCACGTAAAGGAGTGGCGGCTGTCGTCGCAAAATTGCCTTAATTCTTCTTTTTTCCAGGAAAAAATAACATTTGCTGAAGACGCTCCCGTCCTCCTAGACCAATATTTCGTGAACGTGTCGACCAAGCCACTGCTGTTTAAGAACATACAGAGGTTTCCAGTTGACTTACTGAATGGAACGACACCTATCGACGTCAATGATAACTACATCATCAGGGCAATCCGTCTTTGGCAAGTCTACAAGATTTACAGGTATGCTTTAAACATTTTCACGGTGAAAATCTGCCTTTTTTCAAAATAGTTGTTTTGGTTTTACCTTTATCATTTTGTCATTGGAGTTGCAATATAGTTAGTGTGTGTGTATGCGTGTGTGTGTGTGTGTGAGTGTGTGTGTGTGTATGTGTGAGTGTCTGTGTGTGTGTGTGTGTGTGTGTGTGTGTGCGTGTGTGTGTGTATGTGTGTGTGTGTATGTTTGTGCGTGTGTGTGTGTGTATGTGTGAGTGAGTATGTGTGTGCATGTCAACAGCATAACTCGAGAAGGTTCATTATCGTCATCATCGTCATCTTGAACATCATCATCAATGACGTCATCATCATCGTCATCATCATCATCATCTTTCTTATCTATTGATTGGATAAAGCTGACTTTAAAAATATATATTTTGTATGTAGAAACCAGAATATCGCGTTTTAACGATAAGTTAGTAATCTAAAACTTAAAGACCCCGTGTGCAGAATTGACACACGAAACATAAAGACTATATATCATTGAATGCCTTTGAACCCTCCCTCTCCATATGGAATAGTAGCTGAGGCTGCAGGTATTAACAGACAGATGAAAGTCAAAACTCTGGAGCTAGTGTTGAATAGTGTGATGAAATTTGCGTTGCTGTGCGTGTTTATGATGTCGTGTTGTTCAATCACTATAACAGAGGAGGCTGACTATGACCTTTAACTTTTGTATGTACAATGAATGCCTAATAAAATATCTAGATTTATGAGGACACCTTGTTGTACCTAAATTTAAAACTCTGCCATAATAAGATCCGACGCGATGACGAAACCTGACACAAACAATAAACCTTTAGTCCACCTTTATTTTCGTAATAGAACAGAGAACCATGTCAACTGCCATCTCTCAATATGCTGAGATGCATGCATTAAATGGAAAGGTTTATTACAACTGTCTCAGTATTCACTTATATCAAGTTGTTTCCATTCCCTTTAACCCTAACTTAACACTTAAACCCTTTTGTTCTCTATCATCATGCAGTCAGCATGGAGAGAAATGTTTGCATGAGATCAAAACAACCGTGACAGAAAAGTGTTTAACATATCTATGGTGGCAGGTGCTTGATCAACCAACTGAATCCATTATACATACATGATAAGAAGTTGGCTAAATATAAAATTAGAACATTAATATTATCACGATGGGTGGTAAACAGGCATCCAAGCCGTTACATTATTTTAGTAAACATAAAGATACAATTAGGTCTATACCGTTTCCCCAGAAGAATGATCTTGGATTTGTCACCACAGGTCATGCTGAATGGCCGCAGTATTTGGTATCAGAGAAATCTAGATCTATTGTGGCGTCTCAGAATGGTCCTTGGTTTCCTGCCATTTACTGTCACGTATTGTATTCTTGGTGCTGTTTTAACATGTTGTAATCTTTATGTATATTAAGCGACGGTCACAACTCGCCGTGCGTGCTTTTTGTCCGTACGTTTTTGTCGTGGCTACGTCTGCTACGTTTTTTCTGCAAACGTAGGGTGGCCGGCCGAGGGAGTACGTCACTCGCAAGGTGTACGTACGTGGTCTGCACGACACGCCTGGCCGTCAGCGGTTGCGTGCATCGTACGTTGCGCAAGTGGTAAGTGAGTTGCACGTGCTTGCAACGTACGATCTCTGTGCGATTGCCACGTTGCCGCGTACAGGCCGTACCTACACGTGCGGCGTGCGCACGATTTCCTTACTCACTCGCACGTTGTAAGTGCGTGCACCTCCTGTTAACTTCATCATCACTAGCCGCCCTGGTGTCTTCCGCGGCCCGTTTCTTTGGATCTTGTCTGGTAGACTTCTTTTGAGCCTTCCTGGGCATCTTGGAGACGAGTTGGCAGTCGCCCGTCAAGTCGTCTTTATATACTGTAGAAATCAGGTGCGTTGCACGTGCGTTGCACGTGCGGAGCACCTGGTATGGTGCACGTGTGTTCTGCGTGGTCATTGAGCAGGTCAACTGGGAAGTGAGGAGTAAGCACGGATGACGCAAGCACCGTGCGTGGCACTCACGTGCTTCGTGCGCTGTCCGTACAGCAATTGCACGTGAGAATAGTGAAGTTAGACTCACGGAGTCCGTACGTTGCACGCTCATAGGCTGTACGGGGCACGCGCGTCGCACGTACTCGCACGCACGGGTGGTAAATCCGCAGACCGCACGTAGAAAAAGTATTACATGCACTTAAGGTTCTACGGCGTGTCTGCGTGCTCCCAAATCCGTAGGATTCCGTACGGAGGTGGTACTCACCACGCACGGATGTCCTACGTTTGCCCACGTTTTTGCACGTAGACAGCACGCAGAAGCACGTACGGCGAGTTGTGACCGAGGCTTAAAGATGTGGAAAGTTGCAGATGGTACCACAGCATTTAAAGAAGTTCGGTTGCTGTTGTTACTAGTACACATTTATGATTACGTCTTCACCTAAAGAAGATAAGAGGTTGTTCTTGGTCTCAGGCATGTCAAGGTGGTTCATCATAACCATAGCCTACTACCAACTAAGGATAGATACAATCAAGTTTTAAAATGAAATTAACAATGTCCAATGTTCGGTCATTTTTCTATGTCAATTATGATTTCAGCGATAAACTAACTGGTCTTTTAACTTTGGGTTCAGCTAGATGTTAGGCCACAGCAAGTAATTTTTATGGATGATATCAGCGCACGTATTAATTTTCGCCTGAAAAATTTGAAAAAAAAACGATAAATTTTGTTGCCCTCTGTCTGTTGTAATGCCAGAACGGATGGTAGATAAACATGAAGAGAGGAAACAAGTCAAGGCTTATTGTGCAGTTGTGTATTTTACTTTGATGCAGTGATGTATTTTGTTCCTTTTAAATGTGATGTTCCCAATAAAAAACATTTTTACAATGATTGGAAACTTTATCTTGTTTTAGTGATGAATGGACGTTGTAATAGTTGGCAGTTGCAGAAATACAATATAGGCATTATTTCTTGTTTTGCAACTTTTACAATATCAAAATTTCAAAATGTAGGAATATTGTATTTTTTGGCAGGCCTTGTTTTGTTGCCCTGTTGCATTACTTTGCGGAGGAATTCATCCATAAAATTTACGTTTTACTTACTTCATTATTGAATAATATCATGGTTATATGGATAATATGGCCATAATGATAATATGGTTATATGCTTATATGGTGATATGGATAAAATGATTATATTGATATATATAAGGCCACAGCAAGTGAATTTTTATTGATGACATCAGCGCGTGCAATTTTTTTGCCTAATTTGGGGGAAAAAACAAGAAATTTTGTTGCCTTCTGACAGTGGTCAACATGCCGAAATTAAATGGGGAAAGATGTCTGCTGCCATGCCGGAAGGTGGATGACAGATACCGGGTAAATATGATGGCGCAATACGAGGCTTTGATTTGATGCAGTGATGAATTTCATTACTTTTATATGTGATGCCCCCACTGAATCAAAACCATTTGTAAACGATTGAAAACTATTACTTTTTGAAAATGTAGGGATCATGTTTTTCTGGCCCGCCTTGTTTTTTTTCACCCTATCACATTAGATTTAGAGTCTGCGGAGGATGTCATCTATAAAATTGCTGTGGCCTGATATGATTATATGGATAATATGGTTATATGGATAATATGGTTATATGGCCGGCTATATATGATATGATTAATATGATATGGATAATTTTAACGTGGAGAAAGATATTTGCTTCATCAGAAAGTCAGCCGAAAGCGGTAAGAAAAGAAGTGAGAAAAGAAAATAGTCTCCACGGATGTTCATATAATAACCATAGTGCTACCTGAGAGTATATATGGTCAATAAGTACTACGAATAGCATCCCAACACAGCTCAGGAAAACTCGAGTCTTCAGAACAGACAACAAACGTTATTTTTTTTAATGAATTGTAGCATTTTCAACCAATATAGACATTGGCAGCTGAAATCAGTTATTAAGGTATGTTTAAGAAATAGACGTTCTTACTCCCATATCCAATATTTCTGTGATTTTAATGAATGGGTTATCTAAAGGCTAAATGTTCAACTTTATCAAGTCCAATATTTGATCATTCTTCCATATCCTTAAAGGAGTACTAACCTCCAGAAGGAAGTGCTATTTTCCGATACATAATGCTGCAATGAATACATAACTAGCCGACTTTTTAAATAATTTCACTTGTACGACTTGCGCGGCGCATGTTTGTAAAGTGATATTAATATCATTTTCCCCCATGCTGAACCACAATTGATACATCCGGGAATTCTGGCTTACGCAATACTCATACACTTCAGGTCAACAGAAACATTTTTCGGCGAAAATGGTAGGAGACAAGCACACTAACAAGCTGATTATTGAGAAATTACTTGCTTTACTTTGCTTGACCTGTGGCTTGGATATTATAATATCAGGATGTCGAATACAGTGGGAGCCAGTTTCATCCTGCATGTTTTGATTTTCTCAACTTATTTGCATGTAAGTATCACTTGAACAGATAATTAGATTACGCCACTTATGGAAAGGATAACTAGATTACGCCGTTTTTTTCATCGTCAATATTTGCGGCATAAATGAGGGGCGATAAGGACACCAAGAAGGGCAATGGTTGGTAAGATACCAAAGAACACAAAACGGTACGAATTTTTCTTATCGCCCCCGAAATGAGGCCTGTAACGTAACTTTTTGTTTAAAACATAGACACCAATGGGGTAGCGTGGTGTATTCTGGGATAGTTTTGAGGGTATTTGAAGAGTTTGTCCTGGATTCGATGCGTTGTAAGACTTGCGCGCAAAATGGGCATTTAATTGTATACTATAAAATAATATGCATTTTTCAATTCCAAAAATAAATGCCTGTCAAAATATAGCACCTCCTTCTGGAGGTTAGTACTCCTTTAATTATGATTTCAGCCATGAATTAACTGGTCTTTTATCAAGGTTCAGGTAGATATTCTGATGCTAGTGTGATACTCAAAATTGTCCTGAGCCACATTTCCCAAGTCCTGCTTGTGCACCAGTTGCCCTTTGACTATGCCACCTTTTATGTTATTTAAATAATATTATCGTTATATGAATAATGTGGTTTTATGGATAATATGGTTATATGGCCGGCTATATGGATACATTTAAAATGAAGAAAGGTATTAGCTTCAACTTCAGCGGAAAGTCAGCAGAAATCAGTAATAGTGAGAAAAGAAGATATAAAGCGCGCAGAATTAGCAAACACAGGAGTATGGATAGGCGCAAGGGCTAGAATGTGCTGGTAATGGCATTTACTTTTGCATACTAGCAAAAATTAAAGTCACGCATGTCGAGCTAATATATGCATGAGAAACGTGTGGAATTTTGCAGGCAGGAAAATTGACCACTGTCTAATTTCAGAAGTACTAGGATCTGTAGCTTCGAAATGTCGATCTAAAACAACTAGAAGGCGAAAAGATAGCATCCGATATCGTTTTGCTAACACTGACAGTGTTATAAGAAACGAAAAGAAATATTCAAAAGTACTCAATTGGTAAATTGATAAATTCGTGGTAGCTAAATAAATGCTATCCTTTCACTTATCATAAGATAGCAGAATAGTTTTGGGGCTAATGCAGCACCCTCCCTGCCTTTGGTCAATTCGAGCACAATGGATTATTTTTGTTTGTTTTGTTTTGTTTTGTTTCCATTCAAATTTGTCACATCTGAGTTTTGAAAAGCCTTGCAATAAATGGCATTGGTAAATTCCAAAATTTTCATTTTTTGTCAAAAGGGTCTGTGAAGAAATATGCATTTTGACAATGTCTTAATATTTCACTTAGTATAGCAAAGAAGTTAGGCTTTGGGTAGTTGTGTACTAGGAATAGCATCATGCACTTACAGTGACAATTTCAAACTTCATTTCTAAAGGGGTTGTGGTAGGTGTTTATGGTGGATACGACATTTAATAGTTGTGTATGCCAATGAAACGTTCGCGTTTGGAACGTTTATAAAAGAGGGTCAAAATGCTTCTTTCAAAGATCAGTTTGGGGCAAATTAACCAGAATTTCAACGTTTGCAGATAAATGTCTTCCTTGAATTATCACATGACGTAACGCGCAGTTCCAAACCAGCCCGCCGAGTCAAATATGCGCAGTCCGCGGCGGCAGAGTTGCCCGGGATGTTTCCAGACACGTAGGCGACCCCGTCATGCCAGATCCAGGTACCCTCAGTCTCGGCGTCCGTCAGACCAGACCAGAGTCCAGGGGTGCATGGGCCACGACTGCAGACGGAATAGTAACTCATTATTTAGCCTCTACTAGGCATCAGAAGCAACTGGAAAGAGTAAACGTTGGCCAAAAAGACGGATAACATGCCAGGGTAGTTGGTACGCTAAGGGAGTGCAGTTTGCCGCTCTCCTGGCATGTTATCTGTCTATTCGACTGATTTCTCTCTTTCCAACCGCTCCTGAGGCCTGGTAGAGGAGACACAGAGACATCGATCAAGCTTTTAACATTCTAGCCCATCACTAACTTTTACAAAAGCACTTGGCTGCTGTAAACAATTACGGAACTGGGGTACTATGTAGAGCTATTTTAATTATCGAATATATTGCTATTGTGCCGTGCAGCATGTTATAGAGAAAATACTTATCACTATTCTTATGTCAACAAAACATTTACATTCCAGAGGTGTTGTTCCCCTTCAGGTACCGACATCATCTGCACCAGCTGTAGCCACCAGTACAGTAATCTCCAAGCAGATCCTACGGTGGCAAGACAGTATCCACTGGCCAGAGCTTTGACCATTGGCCACCATGTAAACCGGGCTAATGGTCACAGCACTGGCCAATGGATACTGTCTTGCCATCGTAGGATCTGCCTTGAAATTACCAGTACAGTGTCGATTCTGAACGGAAACCAAACATCTCTACTTTTCTTGCTAGTGGCCTAATCTCCAAGCAGATTTTGTCTGTTGCCGGGGACTATCAAATTGGCCACCCGAGTTACCATCTATGGGGGGTAAATGGTAACTCGAGTGCCGATTTTATCGCCTCCTCTCCCCGACGCCCGGGAGATTCCTGTTGGCCACGGGTAAATGTAGAAGGGATTAGCGTACCGCAGCAGACGCCTGTCCGCGTCTTCGATCACCGCAGGGTTCCGGACGGGTAGCAGCTCTGCTTGGTCATTCTGGCAGTATGCCACTGCTGCTGGGTAGTTCATCGGTCGTGGTACAAATCGGACACACATCCCGTACCTGACCTGGTAGGGCCTGGCACACACCTCTGTGGTATGTACAAAATTAGTTCACTTCATTGATACGAACGTGAAATATGATATTTCAGTTTAGAATTCTCCTACAACTTTCAATCTTTAACTGTAATTTCTCTTTTAATGTGCATCATGTTTTAGAACTAATCGATATTGCTGTTGTTGTTGTTTTTGTCTTTCTTAATATTGAATTGTTTAAAGAAAATGATCATATTGATTTATCGCTATTAAACTAGATGCTAACATTCGTATCCTGTGTAACACTTTAAATTTTGATGTGGTTCAGTTAGAGACATTTTTGTAAGTTGTACGTAATTCATCCGAATGGCTGCGAGGTGTCAACTGAAAAAAACATTTATATATAAATGTAACAATTGCAAGTGATGAACAGATCGTGTAGTCTCCACCAGACTAACAACGCGGTTGGATAAAATGAAGCCAAGTAAAGAGAACAATTGGGGAGGTTAATATACCCACCATAGTGTTCATTTGACCGCTTTGGAGGGGGGGATTAATACTCCTCTGGACTGACTCTAACGGACAATTATTTTTTGCCAAACTCCAAGATCCATACCCCGTAGGAAACCTGATGGAGCCTACCTTACATGTATGTATATATGTTTGTTTGTTTGTTTGTTTGTTTGTTTGTTTGTTTGTTTGTTTGTTTAGTGTTGGGAGTAGACCTTCACACCTACCACAGACTGGGGGCGGAGCGTAGCTCCAGGTGCCACCTGGTTGACAGACTCGTTCCCAGGCCGTGGCCAGGACTCCCACTTCACACTCGAAGGTGGCAACGGAGCCGATCGAGTAGCTGGGGATGATCAGAGTTCCGGGAACATTGGGAGGGTCCAGTGGACCACAGGTTATCAACTCTGAAAGGGGAGATATTTGTGAATCCAGTCAATCATATTTCAATAGGGGAAACATAGTCAGGGATAGGGAAATACAGTCAGAACCAGGAACAGGGAAACACAGTCAGCACCAGGGACTGGGAAACACACTCAGCACCAAGGACACGAAAGCACAGTCAGCACCAGGGACAGGAAAACACAGTCAGCACCAGGGACGGGGAAACACAGTCAGCACCAAAGACAGTGAAACACAGTCAGCACCAAGGATAGGGAGACACAGACAGCACAAAGGACAGGGAAACACAGTCAGCACCAAGTACAGGGAAACACATTCAGCTGAAGGACAGGAAAACACAGTCAGCACCAGGGACAGGGAAACACAGTCAGCACCAGGGACAGGGAAACACAAACAGCACAAGGACAGGGAAACACAACCAGCACCAGGGACAGGGAAACACAGTCAGCACCAAGGACAGGGAAACACAGTCAGCACCAGGGACAGGGAAACACAGTCAGCACCAGGGACAGGGAAACACAATCAGCACCAGGGACAGGGAAACACAGTCAGCACCAGGGACAGGGAAACACAGTCAGCACCAAGGACAGGGAAACACAGTCAGCACCAGAGACAGGAAAACACAGTCAGCACAAGGGACAGGGGAACACAGTCAGCACCAGGGACGGGAAACACAGTCAGCACCAGGGACAGGGAAACACAGTCAGCATCAGGACAGGGAAACACAGTAGGCACCAGAGACCGGGAAAAACAGTCAGCACCAAGGACAGGAAAACACAGTCAGCACGAAGGACAGGAAACACAGTCAGCACCAGGGACAGGAAACACAGTCATCACGAAGGACAGGGAATCACAGCACCAAGGACAGGGAAACACAGTCATTACCAGGGACAGGGAAACACAGGCAGCACAAGGACATGGAAATACAGTCAGCACCAGGGGCAGAGAAACACAGTAGCACCAGGGACAGGGAAACACAGTCAGCACCAGGGACAGGGAAACACAATCAGAACCAGGAACTGAGAAACACACTCAGCACCAAGGACAGGAAAACACAGTCAGCCCCAGGGACAGGAAAACACAGTCAGCACCAGGGACGGGGAAACACAGTCAGCACCAGGGACAGGGAAATACAGTCATCACCAAAGACAGTGAAACACAGTCAGCACCAAGGATAGGGAGACACAGACAGCACAAGAACAGGGAATCACAGTCAGCACCAGGACAGGGAAACACAGTCAGCTGAAGGACAGTGAAACACACTCAGCACCACGGGACAACGGAAACACAGTCAGCACCAAGGACAGGGAAACACAATCAGCACCAGGGACTGGGAAACACACTCAGCACCAAGGACAGGGAAACACAGTCAGCACCAGGGACAGGGAAACACAGTCAGCACCAGGGACAGGGAAACACAATCAGCACAAGGACAGGGTAACACATTCAGCACAAGGACAGGGAAACACAGTAAGCACCAGGGACTGGGAAACACACTCAGCATCAGGGACAGGGAAACACAATCAGCACAAGGACAGGGAAACACATTCAGCACAAGGACAGGGAAACACAGTAAGCACCAGGGACTGGGAAACACACTCAGCACCAAGGACAGGGAAACACAACCAGCACCAGGGACAGGGGAAACACAGTCAGCACCAAGGACAGGGAAACACAATCAGCACAAGGACAGGGAAACACAATCAGCACAAGGACAGGGAGATACAGTAAGCACCAGGGACTGGGAAACACACTCAGCACCAGGGACAGGGAAACACAAACAGCACAAGGACAGGGAAACACAACCAGCACCAGGGACAGGGCAACACAGTCAGCACCAAGGACAGGAAACACAGTCAGCACCAAGGACAGGGAAACACAGTCAGCACCAAGGACAGGGAAACACAATCAGCACAATGACAGGGAAACACAATCAGCACAAGGACAGGGAAATACAGTCAGCACCAAGGACAGGGAAACACAGTCAGGACCAGGGACAGGAAAAACACAGTCAGTGCCAGGGACAGGGAAACATAGACAGGACCACAGACAGGGAAACACAGTCAGCACCAAGGACAGGGAAACAGTCAGCACCAGAGACAGGAAGACACAGTCAGCATCGGGAACAGGGAAACACAGTCAGCACCAGGGACAGGGAAACACAGTTAGTACCAGGGACAGGGAAACACAGTCAGCACCAGGGACAGGGAAACACAGTCAGCATCAGGGACTGGGAAACACAGTCAGTACCAGGGACAGGGAAACACAGTCAGCACCAGGGACAGGGAAACACAGTCAGCATCGGGAACAGGGAAACACAGTGAGCACCAGGGACAGGGAAACACAGTCAGTACCAGGGACAGGGAAACACAGTCAGTACCAGGGACAGGGAAACACAGTCAGGACCAGGGACAGGGAAACACAGTTAGCAGTAGGGACCAGGAAACACAGTCAGCACCAAGGACAGGGAAACAGTCAGCACAAAGGACAGTGAAACACAGTCAGCACCAAGGACAGGGAAATACAGTCAGCACCAAGGACAGGGAAACACAGTCAGCACCAGCGACAGGGGAACACAGTCAGCACCAGGGACAGGGAAACACAATCAGCACAAGGACAGGTAAACACAGTCAGCACCAGGGGCAGGGAAACACCAAGGTCAGCACCAAGGACAGGGAAACACAGTCAGAACCAGGGACAGGGAAACACAACCAGCACCAGGGACAGGAAACACAGTCAGCACCAAGGACAGGGAAACACAGTCCTCACCAAGGACAGGGAAACACAGTCAGCACCAGGACAGGGAAACACAATCAGCACAAGGACAGGAAACACAGTCAGCACCAGGAACAGGGAACACAGTCAGCACCAGGGACAGGGCAACACAGTCAGCACCAAGGACAGTGAAACACAGTAGGCACCAGGGACCGGGAAACAAAGTCAGCACCAAGGACAGGGAAACACAGTCAGCACAAGGACAGGGAAACACAGTAAGCACCAGGGACAGGGAAACACAGTCAGCACCAGGGACAGGAAAACACAGTCAGCTCCAAGGACAGGGAAACATAGTCAGGACCAAGGACAGGTAAACACAGTCATCACCAGGGACAGGGGAACACAGTCAGCACCAGGGACAGGGAAACACAGTAAGCACCAGTGACAGGGAAACACAATCAGCACAAGGACAGGGAAACACATTCAGCACAAGGACAGGGAAACACAGTCAGCAAAAGGACAGGGAAACACAGTCAGCACCAGGGACAGGGAAACACAGTAAGCACCAGTGACAGGAAAACACAATCAGCACAAGGACAGGGAAACACAATCAGCACAAGGGCAGGGAAATATAGTCAGCACCAGGAACAGGGAACACAGTAAGTACCAGGGGCAGGAAAACACAGTCAGGACCAGGGACAAGGAAACACAGTTAGCAGTAGGGACCAGGAAACACAGTCAGCACCAAGGACAGGGAAACAGTCAGCACAAAGGACAGTGAAACACAGTCACCTCCAAGGACAGGGAAACAGAGTCAGCACCAGGGACAGGGAAACACAGTCAGCACCAGGGGCAGGGAATCACAGTCAGCACTAGGGACAGGAAACACAGTCAGCATCAGGACAGGGAAACACAGTAGGCACCAGAGACCGGGAAAAACAGTCAGCACCAAGGACAGGAAAACACAGTCAGCACGAAGGACAGGAAACACAGTCAGCACCAGGGACAGGAAACACAGTCATCACGAAGGACAGGGAATCACAGCACCAAGGACAGGGAAACACAGTCATTACCAGGGACAGGGAAACACAGGCAGCACAAGGACATGGAAATACAGTCAGCACCAGGGGCAGAGAAACACAGTAGGCACCAGGGACAGGGAAACACAC